CACAACTTTCTTTGAAAGTGTCAAAACTAACAGGCACAAGACTAGCTAACTGTATTTTTAAACTGCATTGAATTGAAATGTTTCCAAACTCAAATAACAAAATATTAAGCTAGTGTAGAACTGCTACCCCATATCGTTCCAGATTATGTAAATTAACAGATCTCAGACCTGAAAACACGATTAAACACAAAGGTCAGGGACACGATCATGGCTGCATATCTGTATCTCTGTCCTGTAGCTAAACAAACAGTTGCTGCAAAATACTACAAGTCATCAAGAAAGAAAGGAACAGGGAAATTTCCAAGATAAGTCTTTAAGAAAACTGGCTATCACCTAGAAAATATTTTAATCCAGAGGCCTTCAATCACAGAAGATGGTCAAGCCATGCAGATTATTCCTGTGACAAGGAACGTGGTAGCCAGCAACACTTCCACACGTGCACAGGGCTGTCAGCTTCCCTGGAGCACCAGATCCACCACAGGAATGCAGGCCAGCTACAGACACCACCTCATGCCTCTGGCACATCCCCCTGCCAGACTAGAGGGATATGAGCAAGCCATCATCCAGGCATTTGATGTAAGGCACTAGTGGTAAACATCTTTCCCAAGAGCTGCTCAGCCAGATGGGGAGCAGGGCACAGGCCACATTAGCTATTCCAGCTGCAAACTCTTGTTCTTGGCTGCCAAGTACCAGATGACAGAAGCAGAACAAACAACTCCCCCTTCAAATTGCATCAAGTACAGGTGGTCACCACTAAATCAATCCTGTTCACTAGCAGGTAACCTTCAGCAAGGGACTATAAAAAGCAAACAACTGGCAAAAGAGCCTGCTGGATTGTCAGACAATGTCTTCCCCACAGAGATGTTGACACTAAAGCAGGCAAGCTGAAGAGCTTGAGGCAGACACTGTGGAGGATCAAAAACTCAGATAGGTGATTTCTGTGTGCCAAGGGAAATCTTTACAGTGAGCAGAGATGTGAGATTCTTTAAGAAAAAAGTCCTCCTCATTCCCCACAGCACAGCTTCAACTGAACTCCTCTTCACACACTTACCCTTCCCATCTTGTCACAACTTTCTTGCACTTCCACTCAAACACTTTCCTACTAAAAGAAAAACAATAGTGAGCCCCTTCACACTGGGGGTAGTCCTTTTCCACCTCCACAGTGGAAGGCAGGACATGATATTGTTTCCACTGATCATGGTGGCACAGGGTGTATTGCACAAGACCAAATAAGAAAGCAAATAAATATATGCAAGTTACTTGTCAGAAAGGTAAGAAACATAGGAAAATTAGGCTCCTCAGTTTTCCTTCTCCCTAAATGAGTGGGTTAAAATGTTTTTACAACTCTTCCTCTTACAATTAATTTCTATGGATACTTCTAGAAAATCTGCTCCTGAACAACTGCAGCGTTCAGTAACTTTACTCATTAAACGGAGTTTCAAAAACAGTGTCTAAATGACACTTTGTCTGGATCAGCAATTTTCAAATTTTCTATCAGTGTCCACACCTCCAGGATAATTCTTCATCCCTTTGGCACATGTAGTTTGAGAGCCATCACACCGGTAGAAGCAAAGCATATGCCCTTCAGAACATACCCCACGAAGAAGGGAAAGGGTGCCTCAGAGAGCAACTCAAAGTGAAGTTAAATTACAGGCAGGAGAAAGTTCTTCAATTAAAGAGTGACAGAACAAAATGTCAGCAGATCAATGGAGTCTATAAGAGGAGAGAAAGCCCATGGCTGGAAGGACTTGCTGAGCCTACTCTCGTCAGAAAACTGCTGGAGAGATTCAGTATCTTCCAGCTATCTTCTTTTGACTCCATGAGTCACCCTCTCCAACCCAACAGCTCCCTCGCAATACCCGCGACCAACACCCCATTCTCTGTGCTTTAGGAACTGCAGGGATAGGAAAATGCCAACTACTTCATCCATGCATGGGCTGTCTTAAGTCCAAAACCTGCACTCTCTCAAAACAGGCATCTCCACTTGTTCCTAATAACTGCCTTGGATTTCCTGCCCTGACGCTGTCCTCATCTTGGCATCAAAAAGTTAGAAAAATCTGGAGGTGTCACAAGCAGGTTTTGTTCTAAAGACAACACGCCAGAACCCCTTGTCCAAGTGATTCAGCCACCTGCTTTTCTTTGATCGTGCCCAGTTTCATTGTTCAAAGACCTGCAAGGAACATGAGTCATGTTTGTGTCAAGATACCTGCTCACAGGTCTTTCATCCTCCCTGTAATTAATGTAATTAAAAAAGAAATTCTAAAATTCACATACAAACCCTTATTTTAGACTACTACTCTTAGAACAGATGTTTCAGTCTATGGGCAAAACCTCCTTTTAAAAGCATTCCAGGCAGAAAGCTACAATACACATTCACTAAAAAATGCCAGTTTTCATTCAGGTTTTCTTTTTGCTGTACAGGATGAAGCTCAGCTTCAAAGTCAACATCCTATCTTTGTGAGCTACCCAGTTATCGATGATTGCCTGCAAATCGTATGAATGCTAGAAATCATGCTGCCTCTGAACACTTAGCAAGAGCAATTTATTCACCGACCTAGAATTTTACATGCAATACTGAACAACTTTTTCAAAGTTGCTTCCCCAACTGCACAAACATAATCAGCTCACAAGGCTGCTGAAAGCAGCAGTTCTGCCATCTGTCTGCTTATTCCCACCTCACACTTGTGCGGGCACAAGTGTTTGTGAAGCCATGCAACGATCTAGAGAGAACCAAACTCTGAAAAGTAACCAGGGAAAAATATAAAATTATCATCAGATCAACCGTGCATGCTGGCACAGGCATGGGAATAAGAAAAAATGACATTACTAATTTTAAGTGGCAGTGCCATTTTCAAAAGTCCATTGATGCAGCAACTTTTCATCAAGTCTAGAAACTAAAATCTTAAGAACACTGAAGCACACATATGAATTTCAGAAAAATTCAAACAATTTTACTTGATTTGCTATTGTGTTCTTGTTAAAGTAAGAAGTCGGAGGAAAAAAGTGATCTGTTGCTTACTAAGAAGAAAAAAAGTGCTTAATGGAAAACATTTCTGTGTTGAGATCTTCACCCCTGCCTCAGTTTCCTCCACTAATAAAACAGAGACAGTAGCACTAATCTGTTCAACTAAACATTCTGCAATACAAATAAACAATATAACACCAAGGTAATATCGTTACAGAGAGACACAGACAGAATTCAACTCTCTTACAGCAACAAAAGAGTGAAACGGCACAAAGCTGATGTTGCAACCTATAGTGGTCTGGGATGGAGAACAGACACAGGACAATGCACAGCAAAATGGCTACTCAGAGCAGCAGTTCCTAAACAGTTGGTATCTACAAAAGGACAGACATGGATTTGCAAAAGACCTGGGTAAAGAAACTCACAGTGGAGTCTCCCTGCCCTCCTTTCATTATTGGTACTCTGATGAAATCACATGGGAGTTATGAAGAGCATATAGGGAAGACTTGCTGGGGTGGCAGGTTAAGTAGGAATCCACAGAGCTGGGTTGTCATGACAGCAGCTGAAAGTATGCAAGAGATGTATAGATCCTGGGTGTTAGAACAGTAAGGACTACAAATAAGATCATTAATACATCACATTTTTAAACACCAAGAAGCATACACTACATCTCATTAATGAAACACAGACTACATGATAACCATTTGCATTGGTGAGGGTGCACGAGGGTCTAGGACATACACAAAATGTTGTATTCATAAAGTACTGATAAAGCACAGGTTCTCACAGACTCAGTAGTCATGCTATACGTAAGAGGAAAGAAGTGACATGCACTTTGGTGGACCAACGCACTCGAGTCTCAGCTGGAGCATGGAAACTCACCACATGAGCTCCATCCCATTTAAAAGCAAAGTAAAACAGCGGAAACTCAATTTCCACAACCCTTCAGGTTAACTTTGCACTCAAACGGACTTGGAACATGCAGCGACTCAGTAACTCATCCCAGCTGAGAGGAAGTAACTTCCTGTCAGAGAGAAGTTACTCCCTGAAGTGTCTGAACTCTGTCTGCAGCAGCACGCCCGGCTCCCCGGCGCAGGCAGGCTGCAGGTGCTGACATGCCAGGCACCGCCATCCTGGCGGGTCACCTCCGAAGGCAGTGGGGCACAAACACTGAACAAGAGTGGCCAGGGATGGGAATGAAACAGGCCCTTGGTGGACACTCTTGCAAGGAAGCTTGGGAGGCAGAGGGAGAATGGGAGTAACAGGTGTTTATGTGATCTATTCAAAACTCCGGGAATTTGATGTGGTGGATTACTCAGGGACTCAGGGATGTCTAACACTGGGTGATCTTCAGGAGTCGCTACTCTGCACGGTTTGAGACCAAAGTAGCCTTTACGAGTGCCTGGCACAGGGAATGTACAAGTACACCAGTGCTCACAAATCCGGGATTCGCACGACAGGGCTCTTACACTGTACTCACCATCCAGCACTGGTGAAGGAGAGGCCCGCGCTCATGCAGAACACATGGACAGTGAGAGGCTGACTAGCGAAGGGGTCCCAGTAAGGACTACGGGTGAAATAGGCGGGGAGCGAGCGACTCGGGCGCTACCGAACAGAGCCCGGGAGCGGGGAGCGGGCGCTGCCCGCGGAGCCCGGAGCGCGGCACAAAGGCGGCTGCTCGGAGCAGGGCGCTGCCGGGTCAGGGATCACGGGGGGGAGATGCCACCAGCGCGCCGGGCCGAGAGGGGCCGGGCAGGGGTCACGGAGCGGGCGGGCAGCGCGGAGCTCCCCGGGGCGAGCCGGGCGCGGGAGGGCAGCGCGGCTCCGGGGAGCGGGGGCGCCCGCGGGCCGGGCCGCGGGACAGGCGCGGGGCCAGGCGAGGACAGCGGCCGGGCGGCAGCAGCGGGGAAGGTGCCGGGCGGGAGGCGGGAGCCGGCGGGGAGGGAGGGAAGGAGGGGAGGGCGCCCGGCCGGGGGGAGCCGGGCGGGACGGGCGCGCACGAGGCGCCCACGCGGGCGGTCGCGGCGATACTCACTATGGGTCGTTGGTGAAGCGGGGGCTCCGCGGGGGCTGGTATCCGTACAGGTGACAGTAGAGCACGTCGAAGCAGAAGCAGCACATCTCGGCCGACACCACCATCTTCCTGCAGCCGGGCCCGCCGGAGCCGGGGGAGGCGAGCAGCGAGGCGGACGGCGGGGAGAGGCCGGCGGGGCCCCCGCCGCAGCTGGGCGGCAGCGGCGGGGACAGGGCGCAGCCGGCGGCGCCCCCCGCCAGCCCCCCGAGGCCGTTCAGGCGGGGGCCCCCCGGCGGGGGCAGCGCCCCCGGCTCGCCCCCCGCCGCCGCCGCCCCGCCGCAGTGGGAGCCGCCGCCGCCGCCGCCCGGGCCGGCCGAGCCCGAGGGAGGGGAGCTGGAGAGTTTCTGCTTCTTCACCCCGCAGCAACCCGCCGCCATCTTGGAGCCGTCTCCCCCCACGCAGCGCTTCCGACCCATGGCGGGGGGGCCGGCCGGCCGGCCGGGGGACGTGCGGCGGCCCGCTCCGCCTCCTGCCGCGCCCGCTCCGCCTGCACGGGGAGGGGGCGGGAGAGGGAGCGATGAATGAGGAGCGGGAGGGAGAGGAGGGTGGGGGGAGAGACAGAGAGAGCTGCGTTAGAGCGACCCGGTGAGCGGCCCCGGCGGGCAGGGCCGGGGTGGAGGGGGCAGCGCGGCCCGCAGGTGTGGCGGCCTTTCCCCCCCCCTCCACACGCCGGGCCGCCCCTCTCGCCTTCCCCCCCCCCCCCCGCGCTTTATCTCCTCCTTCTGCCAGGGAAGTGGAGCAACTCCACCTCGCGTGCTAAAAAAAAAAAAAAATAAACCCACAAACCCGAGCTCTGCAGGCGCCGCACGGCAGGAGCAAAGCCCTTGAGATGGTTAAAAACACCCCGCTAAATAATTCAAGTGACCTGAGATGCCTTTCTCTGGGGAAGAGGAGGGGGGGGCTGTGTTGGAGCCGGCAGGCTGGGAGCCTGCAGAGAGTGCTTGGATGCACCTATTAAACATGCAATCGTGATGGCTGAAAGCCACGGGCTTTATGTATATATTATATTTTATATAGATATATCTGTTTTTTTAATTACAGCTTTGGCAATTGCTTCACAACCAATAAATAGCAGCTCAGAGTGCAGGCCCGCAGCTACAGAGCCAGCAGCCCTGACCCGGTGAGACCATGGCCCTGGGTGCCTGCAGCCCGGGAGAGACCTCTAGGGAAAGGAAATCCAGGGAAAAAAAGATGTGAGTTCCTGCTGTCCTCCAGACATCTAAAATTAAGCTTAACAAGCTACAAGGGTGGCAGGGGAAATGTGTTTTATATTACTGTTTTACATTAGCCTCATATATAGATCTATCTCAATTTATGGAGAGGCTTGCAAAGAGCCGTAAAGTACTTCAAAATCTGTCTGTATGTATATTTAGAAAATAACACCTCACCCGTCAGTGTTATGCAGCCATCTCTGGCATGGGATGTAACAGCTGTTTAACATAGAATAGCAACACTACAGTATCGAGGAAGACAAGGGGCAAGGACTGCCACATCGAGTTAAAATAATATCACAAGTTTAGAGAGACGCAGCCGTTACACAAGCTAGAATGCAGTATAGAAAAAGTTTTCAGTCACAGACTACTTAGAGACTCAGTTTTACATTTCTTGTTGGAAATGGTTTATCCAATATCCTCATGATCTTAATTTTGGCTGGATCTTAAATTATGGATTTGAAGAGAAAATCCCCAATCACTAGAGGGCTAATACTAATGGGTTAAAAAGCCCTTTGAGCCTTTCTGTCCAAATACTGGCCTAAACTCCTCTTGCTTTGACTGTGAATCATAGCCTGAGGTGAAACAGCTGCAGGGAATACAGCAAACAGAAAGGAGAAGAATTAGATGGTGTGAAGCAGTCTTTTCCATTTTTAAATGTAATGTTTATGTTTGGAGCTGAAGAATACTTGAGAAGAGAACCCAGTTCCCCTCTCTCAAACAACTTGCAAGTTTCTTTCAAAACAAAGGCAGTGTTTTCTCCTTAGGGATTCATTTGTTTAAAATCAGTTAGCAGTGACACCTTCTGTTGCTTTTGGGAAAACAGTTTCTCCAGGTATTGAATTCTTTTTCTAATTTTTTTAACATCCAACATTATTTAACACTAATATTTATAAAAAATATTAAGTAATTGCAAAAGCCTGTGGTACACACACAAATATAAATCATTCACTCCACAGGGACAGATATTTGGAAGGTGCAGTGTAAGTCTCAGAGCTAGGACTGATATCCTTATGCAATATCAAGACTATTGATAATGCATAGGGATAACTTTTTGATTAAATATTGTATTGTAATGGTCCTTGAATGAAAGGCTAAACTACATGTGTTACTTATCTATTAAAAACACATTGCTTTTTCCACTCCTGCAGATGTTCTTTGTTGTATTTGCCTGTAGTTGTGCTCCTATTTTACCTCAGTACAGTTCAAGCATACCAAATCTCCATGTAAAGACAACAATAAATATACAAACACAACTGCGGAAATTAGTGGAGTCAGAAACACACAATTGTATTATCAAATATCTTGAAGTGGAGAGAACTGCAGACTCACAAAACATTTTTCGTAGCTCAATGAAAAATTTCTATTTATATTTGAAGGAGCACTTATTCTTTGGATAAGATTGTTTCAGTTCACTGCAACATGTGTTTCATTGGCCCTTTGTGTCAGTTAAGTCTTGAGTACCTTTACATTTCTTATTACAAGGAACCCTGAATATGTTCAGTTCTTCTGGACTTCTACAGTACTTCTATACTTTGCTAACTTCAGCACATTCTCTCCTGTTAGTTGATGACTTTTTGGTTGTGTCTCATATGCAGTCAAATATACTGAGCGAATTCCGTACAAAACCCAAACTCTTTAGAAGTACAAGCAGAGTCAGAATGGAAGTGCAATTAGGTCAGTTTAATTTAGGTGGGATGTAGCTCTCCTTTATGACTCCAGCTGTTTAGCAATATTGCTCACCTCGTGTTCTAAAGCCCCAGTGATTTCAGTATTGTCACTTATTACAAGTAAGAGATTAAAATTAATGTTTTAATTAAAAATCACAACCATTATTCTTGAAAAGAGCTGTCAAAGAAATTATTCTAAGGAAAACAGAGTTATTTGTAGAAAGATCTTTCTCAGCGACCCAAACCTGCTCTGAAGGATTGCCCTTCTTAAACAAGAAAATCAGAATGACTAGTATCTAGGGGAAATGATATCCTAACACACATGATCCAATTCTTTTTGAATCCAAGGTAAAATTTGCACTGACTGTAGTAGAAGTGTTCTCAAGTGGCCCAAAAGATGATTTATGTTCTCAGTATCCTTCAATCTAGTTAAAAGACAAATCAACCAGAACAAGGAAACTATGATCCAAAATTGGGCTCCATCGGTAAGTGGGAGTGATATAATCCTTGCCTTATTAGTACCAATTCTTTTAATAGGCACTGTGACAGGTGAGGGATTTAAAAGGGTACTTAAAATAGCACATTTAGGCTCTGGTTCCATGTGCATTTCTGCAGGACTAGTAATGTTGGTTTAAGCAGCTCTACCTCAGCTAATTGTTCTCCTTCCTGCCCCACCCATTCTGTTGTGTTCATGCAGCTGTTTGTGCAGATGTGAGGCAGAAGATCAAGTTGGAAAACACTCTTTTCCCTCAATTATTTTTCAGCCAAATCAGTTCTCCAGTCTGGTTTATCAGAGGGCTGCACAAAAGTCTGTGTTGGCCTGTTGGAGTGGCTACACAAAATTGTGAATTAATGGCCTTGGGCAGTTTAAACAGTGCTACTGAAAACTTAGAAGATGCAGCCTAAAGCTACATTGCACATATTTATGGGGAAACTGTCAGAAATAACAGAAGTCTTTGAATTTTAAATAATAGGTGAAGAAAACCAGTTGAGGAAAGATAAAGGGCCTTGTACAGGAAGGGTATTGGTTTATGCTTGAGACTGTAGAAAAATCAGAGCCAGGCAATGAAAGAAAAGGAAACAGAAGGCCCTCTTTTCAAGATATATAATATTCCACTTTCTTAGAACTGAAGAAAACGTTATACCACAAAAAATTCTATAAAACAACCCTCAACAACTTCAAAACTTGAGCTATGTAAACAGCATGTCTATGGAGTTAGTTATTATTCTAGAAAAGAGTCTGTACTTACATATTCCAAAATGCAATTTTGTATCTTTGTCTTTGTATCTTTCCATCATAATGAGCTTTTTTGGATGGGCCTGCCATAAAACTGGAAGATTTACATGCTGAAAATTCCTTTGGTCTGAGGAGTTTTCACCCATTGTGGAGCCAGTCTAGGCAACTCTTCCCTTGCCCTGCAGCCTACAAGGCTTTGTGAGTGTAGCTGGGACGAAAGTGGGTTTGCTTGTATTACTTTCTCACATTATTCCCAAACTGTTCTATCACGCTCTTGAGACTCATGTGAGTTTTCCTTAGTATATTCTGCTTAGACAGAGTAGCTACTGTTCTTCAGTACACTCCCTGTCTCAGCTGTCCCCAGGAGAAATTAGATGCAGCACTGAATCTAGGCCAGAAAATGTGCACAAAATCCAATAAGTTAATGAAAGTTAACTTGCACATGTCTGAGAACAGCAATTGTTCCTACCAGTTAGAGGCCATATCCTGCTATTGTTCCATATATCAAACCCCTATTGAAGTCTCTGCTAAAAAACCTTGTACAAAAATCATCTCAGGATGTGATACCAGCCAGCAGACAAAAAGTCCTCACATGTTGTGTTACTGGAATCCTGGCCCTGTTTCATATTATGAGCTGTGTTATAATTTTACCATACTGTGAATCCAATCTGTGTTATTTTAAAATTAATATTGTTTTACAGACATTTTTCACTCTTACACAAAGTTAGGGTTTGGTCCTGTTGCACTGCAAAACTGGGCATTAGTTTGTTAAAAAAACCACACCAAAACACCCCAAACAAACAATCAAACAAAAGCTCCCACTAAATGAACCTCCCAAAGCAAACAAACAAGAAAAGCAAAAAATCACCACACGTTCTAAAATGTTATTTATGAAAGTAAATAACCTAAGACTGGGCAGTTTTTGAACTAGAGATAAAAACATTAAATGTGTCAATGGAATCAGAGAAGTTATTAAATTAAAAACTTAAGGTTCAAAGAGCTTGTAATAAATGAAAGGTGAGAGTTGTAGTAGCATTTTAATGGAATTCTTTTCAGTTAATTCTGTGATCTGGAATGCTCCTCAGATATTATGTTAATGCAATATCCTATCCTTTTTGAATGTATTTTTCCATTGTACAGTGGTAAAAGAAGATGTAGCTTACATAGCTGTATTGTCAGTATAAATTCGCCATGGCTTCATTGAGGTCAGTGGAGGTACAGTGATTTGTGCTAGCTGATACATTAATAATAAGCCTTAGGACATATTTTTTGACTTGGCTGTTTGTAGTTGGTCTCCTTCACAAAATATTTTCCACCACTGTAGAGCAACCATACGTAGTAATAGCATTTCTCACTTCTAAAGATTCAG